GTTATTTGCTTGATAATAAACGATTGCGCAACTATGCATGAATGATAACGATTGCTGGAAGCTTTACTCATTTATAAGGCGAATGACGGTAATAGGTGAGTCGAATCAATAACGTAGTGTTGTTGATGACAAATTATTATTACGAATTATTATGAAAAGTAAATTATGACAAATTACAAACTATTATTAAATTATTATTACGTTCGCAATTAGAAGTATTACGACGATGTTCAACGTTTCGGCGTTATGCCATTTTCAGGAACTTCTTTTTGAATCAGTGAACGATTACGATAAAAATTAAACCGGAAAGATGATTTGCAGCAATATTTGTACGTGCATCGTGTGATGTTGTGCCACTTTATGGATAAATACAAAGTGTACAGCGATAATGCAGAAGAACAGGAGAAATGCAAGAAATTCATTGCTGACTATGAACGATTAACGATGTAATCGGGTAGATGAGATTCAATGTGCCTTTCGATGACTGNATCTGATCTAACATTCCATCGATGATACATCCATTCGAATATCATTCATCATTTTATCAACATTTTCTATTTCTCATAAAATTGTAATGAATGAATATCAGTATGTCGGTTTTTATGTCGATTTGTAATTGTAATGAATGAATATCAGCGTTCAAACCAATTTCAATTATGTCGATTTCCAAGATAACTTGTGTTCGTTCTGAAAACTTCCGAACATTTGATCTCAGAAATGTTTCTCAGCCCCTCCTCATCCCATCGGATTGTTTCAATCAACTTTTTGACTCAAATGGTCAAGATTTCTGCTCAGCTCTTGAACATTGCTTGTTTTCGACTGTAATTTTCATAATGATGTTCCATTTTCAACTAAGTTGAAGACAGATAATCAAAATCGCTTCTGCAGTTGACTATTCTCGAAACAGTTCGTTATCACTGAGCTGATAGCGATACAAGGATGTTCATCACTCGTACCTTGGCATCCTCCTCACATTCGGGTGCTCCATTACTCCTTTTGATGATCTGGCGGGCCGCCGTTACCTTCCCCTTCCCCACCCATACAAGAACTTACTATTTCCACGTATAACGTCAGGAAGAAACGTAAAATCGGTTCGAAAATTGAAAATTTTTTCAGTTTGTGCACCTCGTCAAACAATCGCACGAAGTTTGGTACCCGCAGCCAAAAAATCACTCGATTTTGCAATTACACTTGTGTAATTAAACCGAATCCTAGAGCACACAAAGCGCTCTGCAAGTAATATGCATAATCGTGAAAGAGACTTGAATGCATACATCACACCGTATGAGTGAGATGTATATTAACGTATCGCACTTAAACTGTGCTATATGCCTACCTTAAACTTGGGTAATTGAACCGAAGGCGAAAGCGCATACAGTGCTACGCAATGAACTGAATACATCTGTATGCTTTCAGCTCATTTGCATTAATATGCATCTCAGCGAATGTATGCATATGAGATGCATACTAATAATGCATACAGCGCTGTGTAAGCGATTCAGCACACGAGTTGACAATATTCTCGGCTTAATTAAATCGTCGAAAAAGCTTTAATAACCATGATTCCTCTATATATGCTCCGCCCATGTATTCTTTTACACTAAGTATTCATCAACAATGAGCAAAGCCTCACGTCATGCACATTCGTTTCCCTCTCACGTCAATATGATAGTGGAAAATGTCGTAAGTTGACAGTGATAATTCGTAAATGGTTCATTCGATTAATGCCGGAACCTATCAAAAGAAATGCTTAGCAGCAATTACTCTAGGAGGATCATCAGGAACGAAAGGTGTGTTGAGGATGCATGAGCTGTTAGGAAAACGATGAAATGAGGCCTGTACTGGAAGCAAGCGAAATGATACTAAGAAGCACTGAAGATTTCAGCTCAGGAGAGTGATCATCAGTAGGAAATTCAAAATTCAACAGCAAAAAATTCAAATTCAGGATTCAAAAAAATTCAGCAGTTCAAATATTATAAATAACGTTCATTTTTGAACGTTTAAAAATCAATTGAGTCCAACATAATTTCTATTCAGATTGCAAGATGAACAGATGAAACGCTATCAGGAAACCGAACAAATGCAGAAATTTGCTGAAGAAAATGAGAAGCTCACCAAGCGACGAGATCAGGTTCTAATGCTCTGATGCTTTCGAGAAACACTTGCAATTTTACGAGCAAAATTTGGCTTGTCAAGTTGAAATCAATACTTTTTTTGATATCAATAGGAGTGGAATGGTGAGAAAAAACTGCACCTCAAACATTTCGCACTGATTATTGGGTGGATTGACGCGGACATCGATGAACGAGATGACTGAACAGCTGTTCTTCCCATTAGAAGTGGGAAGTGCAAGACTTTATCGGTAGTCACCGACCGAAAACTCTATCCGTAGCAACCGACCCAATTCTACTCCCTCCCCTACCCCTTCTACCGACCCAAATATTGTAATTTTTGAAAGTAACAGTCAAAAATACACTTCAGCAATATCCCCAGTGCACGCAGTAGGAATA